TGGAAAGCCCACCTGGCAAGAGCATCTTGCCGGCACAGCAAAGCCTAGAAAACATGATGTGTTTGGTATGCCAAACACAGTAACAACAAGTCTCACAATGGAGATGTTACTGGCCCACTCGAGCAAATCGATGAACAATGGGAGGACAGTGTGACAGTGCATCCTGTTAATATGGTCTAGAAATAGAACATTTTGGTGGTACTGAGAGACACCTCTACGTTGCCATATTTTGTGACTATGCACTAAACCACATAAAGTATACTGCTTTATGATAATAATGTAAAGCCATAAGGAAAATTACATTAACACATAAATGACATTAAATACTGCAGCAACATAGCACCTAAAAATGTACGAAATACGTATGGACCCAAAATACAATAGACTACAAGAAAGAGGGTCAGTATAGTTTTGTCAAAAACTAATGTAAGGATATAAATAAATTGAATCAATAAACTTGATTTAAAAGATGCCCATACCCCACACAGAATTAGCTATTTAATCTGTGTGTCTGTGGAGCATTTAATAGAAATCAAATATAGATTAAAAAATTAACAAATTCACCTTAATTTTTGAGGAAACAAAAGACATTTTACAGATGATAATATCTGGTCACAATAAAAAAAACTTGGATATATTGGGGCCAGAAATAGCACAGTAAGTAGAGCTTACTTTGCATGTTGCTGACCTGGATTTAATCCCCACTACCCCGGGCTGGAGCAATAGCACAGTGGGTAGGGCATTTGCCTTGCATGCGGTCGACCTGGGTTCAATTTCTCCGTCCCTCTTAGAGAGTCTAGCAAGCTACCAAGAGTATCCTGCCTGCACGGCAGAGCCTGGCAAGCTCCCCGTGGCATATTCGATATGCCCAAAATGGTAACAATAAGTCTCACAATGAAGATGTTACTGGTGCCCGCTTGAGCAAATAGATGAACAACGGGAGGACAGTGCTACAGTGCTAACCCAGATAGACCCCTGAGCTCACCAGAAGTGATAACTGAGTACAGAGCCAGGAGTAAACCATGAGCACTACTGGGTGTGGTCCCCCCCCAAAAAATTGGAAATACAACATGACAAATATATAAAACATTAGGAAATTTATTTATTTTATTTACTTATTTATTGGCTTTTAGGGTCATACCTAGTAATTCTTAAGGGTTACTCCTGATTCTGCACTCAGAAATTACTCCTGGTGGTACTCAGGGTACCATATGGGATGCTAGGGACTTAACCCCAGCAAGGCAAACACCCTACCCACTGTATTGTTGCTCCAGCCCCACATTAGGTATTTTAAACCTGACAAACATTCTCTGACAAAACCAAGACCAAAGAAGTGATTTAAAAAGTAAATTATGAAATCTATATGTAGCAAAATAATAATAATCACCATTGTCTTTATTCTCAAACTATGTACTCAGAGGAAAAACTGTAGCCCTTAGGGAGAGGAGGATTTGGCCAAGTACCAGAGCACATAACTAAGTATGCAAGGATTTAGCACCTTGTGACCCCCAAGCACTGCCAGTTCTAACCATGCTGACCCCAGACCTGTACATGATCCGGTGATTCCTGAAAACTGCTAGAGCAAGCATTACTAGTAATGATCCCCTGTGAAATAATTTTTTCTAGTTGTTCAGCTCAATTTTTTCACATTTCTGTTTGGTTTGTGGTGGGGGTGTCACACCTAGTAGTTCTCAGGAGCTGCTCCCATGTCAGTGTTCAGGTATAACTTCTAAGAGTGCTCAGATGACCATGTGGTGCCAAGGATTTGAGCCCTGGCCTCCCTCATGTATTGTGTAGGCTTCGGCCATTTAAGATAATCTCTAAGGACCAGATAGATAGCACAGCAGGTATGGTGCATGTCTTGTTGACAACCTCAGTTTGACCCCTGGCACCACATATGAGCCCCGAAGCACCGCTGGGATTGATGTCAGCTCAGAAATAACCCCTGGGCACAGTGTGGTCTGACCCACAAAAATAAAAATAAAATGAATAAAATACCCTCTGGCCATTTCTTTCTTAAAGAAGAAATGCAAACTAAGTAATCATCCCAAAATTCAAACAAGAAAATTAACCAAAAGAAGCTAGCTAGAGATTGGAAATTAAAAGTCAAAATCATTGAGCATGATGGCCACTCAATACTCTACTGCAAACCACAACACCCAAAATGAGAGAACAACAGGGAATGCCCTGAAGCGGGGGAGGGGGGGAATGAGTTGTGGGGGAGGCACACTGGGATCATTGGTGGTGGAGAATGGGCACTGGTGGAGGGATGGGTACTCAAGCATTGTATGACTGAAATGCAAGCACGAAAGTTTTTAAGTCTACAACTGTACCTCATGGTGTTTCACTAATAATAATAATAATAATAATAATAAACATAAATTTAAAAAGGTTCAAATCATGAACCTCACACATCAAAAATGTGCATACAGATATGTAATCTGATCTCTGTACAGACTTCATGCATATTAATAGACCAGTTAGTGTAGAAAAAACAGAGGTAGTACAAATTCTCTGAGATAATTCTTGTCCTGATTAGTCATTTATGTTTATAAATATACAAATATATTCATATATTACAATCTTTATACTGCTTTTGGTCACTGTCACTGCCCTTCCATTGTTCATCGATTTGCTCGAACGGGCCCAGTAACGTCTCCATTGTGACAGTTGTTACTGTATTTGGCATATCGAATACGTCACGGGTAGCTTGCCAGGCTTTGCCATGTGGGTGAGATGCTTTCGGTAGCTTGCCAGGCTCTCCAAGAGGGGCAGAGGAATCGAACTCAGGTCAGCCATATTGGCCGCTTGCAAGGCAAACGCTCTACCTGCTGTGCTATTGCTCCAGCCCATTGCTTTTGGTATTTACTGTATATTTTAGAAGGAAACCTCTGTTTTAGCAGCATCATTGACAGAAATCATTAAGGATCAACAACTGCTATTTATTTCTGACTCACTTTGAATTGACAACAATAGTACTTATGAATTGGTTGGTTTGTGAAGAGGAAGTGGGAAAGTGGTATCACACAAAATCAATCACACATCATCCTGTTATTTGTCGATTGCCTCGAGCAGGCCCCAGTAACATCTCCTTCATCCTAGCCCTGAGATTATATTCAAGGCTCTTTAGGAGCATGAGACCCATCATTGTTACTGGTATTTGGCATATTGGGTACGCCACGGGGAGTTTGCCAGACTCTGCCGTGTGGGCAGGCTACATTCGGTAGCCTGCCAGTTTGTCCAAAGTACGAATGAGATAATAAGATGTCATAATAAGATGTCGTGTGGCCAGGAATGCAGCCGCGCCGTTCTGGGAGCTTGTTTTTATAGTCTCTGAGTCTTGGCCGTTGATGGGATTACATGGTGCCAGGGGGCCAGTTGGTGGGTGTGACCTCCGCCTACTAGAATTTGGAGGATCTGGGTGGAGGATGCTCAGCCCCAATCTGAATAAGCTTGGAGATCTCGGCCCCCGGAACCCGCGTGACTTTGTCCCTCTGCCAGTACCTTCATGTGTGCAGAGAGTGGTCTCAGCATGGTGGTGACTGGTGCAAGCCTACTCAGATTTGGGCCGAGCATCTTCCACCCAGATCCTCCAAATTCCAGTAGGCGGGGGTCACACCCACCAACTGGCCCCCTGGCGCTGTGTAATCCCATCAAAGGCCAAGACTCAGAGACTATAAAAACCAGCTCCCGGAAGAGAAGAGTGCAGTCTCCTGCCCCCGCGCCTGGCTGTCCTCGCCGGGGCCCCTTGGAGGGGATCGGGTTGAGCTTTCCTCCCTGCCCCAACCAGGGCTCCAGCAGCCAAAGACTTCCAGAACCAGCCACCACCATGCTGAGACCACTCTCCGCACACATGAAGGGAAAGTGGTATAGAAAAATATAATTCTTTTTATTATCAAAATTGTTAAAACCAGACTCTTCTGACGTAATATACCATGTATGTTTACTACTGACTACAACATGAAGGTTATATGTCTGTTTTTTACTTAAGAGTAAATTTAGTTAATTATGTCTGATAAAATATGGGAAGAAAGGATCTTAAACATTGTAAATCATGTCCTGTAACAGTCTGCAACGTTAACTATACTTTGGTTTTGAGTATTTATTTATTCGAAAGGATCCAAGGAAAGAGATAGGCATGCTACAACTACTTCTACTAATACAAGTTTGTTTCTTCTATTTTTTAATGTTTGGAGGTAAGCTATACCAAAGAACATTTGTAAATTCCATGAATTGTAGATGATTCTGCCCAAAGATAAAATTTCATATTTTCAAGGCATTTTCTTTGCTAATGTATTATTAAATTTATGAGCCAGGATTTCTCTCAGTTATTAAACTAATAACCTAGCAGAGGAACTGAAGAATTGATTTTATTTTGCTCCTCATTTTTGATACAATAATCTCAAAAGAAATTAAGGAAAAAAGTCTTTAAAGCAAAGAACATGATGACTTGAATTTTACTACAAGTGTAATTATGTTAATGAATATTTGGAAGCTTTTTCTTTTGTTTATTTGCTCCTGAAGCCCTCTCACCCAATTACTGGACTGAGCTTCATTTCAAATAACTTTAAAACATGTATGATAGATTATTATCTTTGGACTTTCTAAGCCATTTACCTTAATTGTTATATACCAAAGTTTTTAAAAATACCCTTGTGGCAAATGTGTATTTTCCCATTCTTACAAATTTTTTAAACAACAAAATGTTTCATAACATTTGAGCTGACAAAGAATTGTTTTACCCAGCAGTGCCCTGATGCTCCCCTCGCAGTGCCGGAGACCAAGAACCACAGGCTCCCAGCCTGGGCTCCGCCTTGAGTGTACAACCTACCCTGCAAGCCGTCTCTGTAGTTCAGGGGTTATTTCTCCCCACCTTCCATTCACTTTTTCATGTACCTTCAGGGATTTTCTAAATGATTTTCTGGTAGTTTTAAGTTTCAAAGAGTAAAACTGAATTCCTGAATCGATCTCACCTTTGTTTCTTTTGCTTCCATGTGTAGGATGAATTCAAGCCGGAAAAGGCACTGTCCGAGGAGGATCTGAAAAATGCAGTGAGCGTGCACCACGCACTGGCATCCCGGGCCACAGACTACGATAAGAAACCCAACGTGCTCAAGCTCAAAACCGCCGACTGGAGAGTCTTGCTCTTTCAGGCCCAGTATGTTTCATTGGTTTGCTTTTATTTTTAATAAACTTAACATCACTTTATTCTGAAAAACAGAATCAGAATCTACAGGAGAAATCTCAACTCCACTTGAGTTAGATTCAAAATCATAACAGATTATGTGATGGAGATCTGCCTAAGAAACTAAAACAAGAGCTAGAAAACTTGGGTTCTTTCTGTTTGCTATTAAATGGTCTTGTGACGTTTTGGGTTTTGTTTTTTTGGGGGACACATCTGTTTTTGTTCAGGGCATACTCCTGACTCTGTGCTCAGGGATCATTCTTGGTTGTTCTTCAGGAGAGTGGGAGGGGACCATATGCCATGTCGGGGATTCTGATTGGAATACTTGTCTACAAGGCCTTACCCATTGTACCTCTCTCTCTCTCTCTAGACACCCTCCCCCCAGTTTTTGTAGTTCTATTAGTTGTCCATTTACTGTCTCAAGGATGTAATATCCTTATGAGGAAAATGCAAGAGTTGTTATACAATTCTATCACACATAGAATAAAAATGATTTGGATTCAAATGAGCATTATCCTCACTGTTCTCCCAAGTATATAAGTAATTTCTTTGAATCTAAGTTTGTCACTTGTGCCGATAATGATTCTTTTGAGAATTGAGATCAAATATTTATAGTTCCTAGTAGATAGAAATATTATATAAGGTACTCCGTGCCAGGCTGTTTTCACTCAGGGTGCCCCAGAGGGGGGCGGGTGAGAACCTTCCCAGCCCCAAGGGACCCAAACCCAGCAGCCGACCTCTACAACCCCACCGCCGTCACACTCCTGGACACAATATAAGACACTCCTTCACTCCTTACCCATTTTTCATAATTGCCACACTATATTTGATATATATATGTTTATATATATATATTTATATGAGAGTCTGGCAAGCTACTGAGAGTATCCCACCCTCCTGGCAGAACCTGGCAAGCTAGCTGTGGCATATTCGATATGCCAAAGGCAGTAATAATAATGAGTCTCATTCCCCTGACCCTGAAAGAGCCTCTAGTACTTTGGGAAACACGAGTAAGGAGAGGCTGCTAAAATCTCAGGGCTGGGACGAATGGAGATGTTACTGGCACCCACTCAAGTAAATCGAAGAACAATGGGATGACAGTGATACTGTGATACAGTATATAGAAACTGTTCAATAAATGCAGTTTTTTTCTGGCTTTTCTCTCATCTTCAGAGACACAATATGTCTGTGACTTAAGATTAAAGATAAAACCATATTGTGAGCAAGGAAATGGGATTGACTACTTGTTTTAAAAGACTATCAACAATCTTTGAATTAAAGATGGAACATTGTACTTTGAAAATAGGGAGGGGCCATGCATGGCAGTGCTTACTCCCGGCTTTGCACTCAGGGATCACTCCTGGTGGGTTTCGGGGTTTATATAGGGGTGGGGATTGAACCCAGGTCAGTTGCATGCAAGCCAAGCACCCTGTACTGTTGTGCTTGCCCTAATACTTGGAGAAATTTAGATCTGTTATATATAAGACTTAGTATTTTCAAAAGTAATCCCATAGAGCAGGAATTTTAATAGGAATCCCCTTCAGTGTATATAGCAATGTTAATAACTGATCATTCTGACACTATCCACTAATCATCATCAATTGGTCATTTTTGGCATAAAAATAAATTTTGTCATTACATTAATAGTTTGCTGCAGGTTGACTTTAGGTTGACCTTGCGATATAACTGCATGATTTTTTAACCAGTTTTAGAATCATGGAAAACAATAAGAGTAAGAGTATGAACTGGGTGATTTGTTAATGTTAAACTTGTGAAAATATGAAATTGTATGGAGATACAAATTACATGGGACTTTTCTAAAGTGTGCGGCATCACAGTTTTAATACCACAAAGGAAGCCATAATTAGTTGTATACTTAGAGCTGTTAGTCACAAAGTTCTTCAGGTTATTCTATTCCTCAACATTTTATATAGTTACCAATCACGATCACGATCATCCTGTTGTTCGTTGATTGCCTCCAGCAGGCCCCAGTAACGTCTACTTCATCCTAGCCCTGAGTTTTTTTTTTAAAAATGCCATATTCAAGGCTCTTTCAGGGTTAGGAGAATGAGACCCATCATTGTTACTGGTATTTGGCATATTGGGTACGCCACGGGGAGTTTGCCAGACTCTGCCGTGTGGGTAGGTTACATTCGGTAGCATATTGGTACATAGTTACCAATATGTTACCTAAATATATTACTTCTAATTATTCAAATTAGATTTGATACAGAAATCAGTCAGTTGAAATAACAAAGCTGCAAAATATCTAGGCTAGCATTCCATCAACTCTAGATTATGAGTATTTCTAACATTCCTTTATGAAATCACAAATATTTTCTGCTAGTTCCTGGTTCTGAATAAACTGCATGAAAAAGTAAGTTTTTAACATATTGACATTTCCATATCATTTAATTTTACTTGTTCTAAGTCTGTAATCCAGTAATTTTTATAAATATATAGAATCATGCAAGCCTGTTAATGCCAGAACCTGGAAGAAACGATTCCATCTTCCTAGAGAAATCCTCACACCCGTTAGCCATCACTTCCACTCTCACTCAGATAGCACTTATGTGCCTTCTGTATCTATAGTATTTCTTGAATTTTTCAGGTCATTAGAGTGCTATAAAGATGTGTTCTTTTGTGTTCGACTGCTTTCAGTTAGAATAGTTTGGGGACTCATGCCTGAGTGTGTATTTTATTCCTTTATTACTGAGGAGAATCTGTTCTTTCACCAGTTGTTAGATGTTTAAATTGTTTCTCTTCTTTGACTTTTACAATTAGTAAAATTTTCTGTTGCACTGAACAGAAAATTCACATACAAATCTATTTGCATATATATGTTTTTCCCCTTGGTGTGTGTACATATACATACATAATAGTAAAATCGCTAGTTTATGTGATACATTTATAGCTTTTAAGAAACTGTCTGAACTGCTTTTAGAAGTGAACTTACCCATTTGCGTTCCCTCCATCAACTTGGATGATGATTTAAATTTGTAATGAATTTTTTACATAGCCTAATATCAGAGTGAGTAGGGGCTTAATGAATATAATTGTCAAGTGATTTTTCTTTCTTCTTTCTGTATTCTTTAAAGTTAATCACAGTTTTACACTCTGAGATCATATTTTCTAGTTCATTCATTTCCATGATGATTGATATTGAAAATATTAAACTCCGGTGAAGTTTTGTCAGGGATTTATTGTACCAAAAGGTACAATAAAAGGTAATTATTTGCCATTTTAAAGCAGTACAAGAAATAGTAAAGTATTATTATTTAGATTTATTAGCACCTCACATAAACATATCTTTCTCATAGGAGTCCAGAGGAAATGCAAGGGTGGATAAACAAAATTAATTGTGTCGCAGCTGTATTTTCTGCACCACCCTTTCCAGCAGCCATTGGATCTCAGAAGAAGTTTAGTCGTCCTCTTCTGCCTGCAACTACGACAAAATTATCTCAGGTAAGTCGATTTCAGTGGAAAAAAAGCACTTTGTAAAATAATTTTATTAATATTTATTGGAATAGGAGTCTATATTTTGATGAGATCTTGCCCTGGAAAGACGTGTTGCACACTTGTGGGGCAAAATGAATACACTGAGTATTATGCTTCATGTAGGAAATTGACACAATTGAATCGAAGAGTGGGTAGTACAACAATTTAAGCACTGTAGCACTGTCGTCCCATTGTTCATCTATTTGCTCCAGCAGGCACCAGTAACGTCTCCATTGTGAGACTTGTTGTTACTGTTTTTGGCATATCAAATATGCCACAGGGAGCTTGCCAAGCTCTCTGCCTTGTGGGCAGGATACTCTCGGTAGCTTGCCGGGCTCCCCAAGAGGGTGTTTCTAAAATTCTTATTGGTTTATTAGATTCAATAATTACTATTATAGTGACTTCATGTTTTCACTGAGAAAAGTAAGTACTTTGATGAGGGAGCAGGGTGTAGTGACAGAAGTCAAACCCACGATTCTATACACCGACCTGTATCCATCGCCCCAAAAGCTTAGTTTTTTTTTTAAATAAATAACTAACTTATGTTAAAATCCTGAATTGGAAAAGTCTTTTATTTATTCATCCTTTTTTTTCATTTTATTGAGTGCATGCCACACTATATTATAATGTTGAATATATAAAAATATTTCCAAGGAGGGGACTGAGGAGGTAGAACAGTGAAGAGGACACTTGTCTTGCATGTGGCCAAACAGGGTTTGATCCCTGATACTTTATATGGTCTCCTTGCCAGAAGTGATCCCTGAGGTGTGCGACCCCCACACAAAAAAATAAAGTCCCATTCTGGAACCAGAGAGATAGTACTGAAGGTAAGGTGCTTGCCTTGCACATGGCTGACCCAGATCCAATCCCCAGACCAGAAATGGTCCCCTAAGCACCATCAGGAGTGTTCCCTGAGTGCCTAGCCAGGAGAAAGCCCTGACCATAGCTGGGTGTGGCCCCAAAACAAAAACAAGTAATATTGCCAAGGATCCTCTATGGATAGTGTAATGGGGCAGAACTGTCAATACCTCTCACAGAGCAATATGTAAGTCATTTATGTTTTCTTAGTTCTTTAGTTAAGTAAAAGTGCAGTGAAACTCTTCCACAAGTTTCTCTCCTAGTACCAGACTGACATCTCTAAATATCTATTTTTTGTGTCTTTCTACTTAAAACTCTCTTCTAAGGACATTATCTCTATTTTTTGTGTCTTTCTACTTAAGACTCTCTTCTAAGGACATTACACACAAACTAGGGGTGCCAATATGAAACCTCTCTGTAGTGTTTCTATCACCAATGATTATTGACTAGTTAAGTATTTTGAGTGCTACTTTGATGTCTTTGGGAATTTTTTATTGGTACATTAAAAAAGTTGTTTTCCTATGACCAATCATGTGTGAATACTTCCTGGCTTTTTCTATACTATCATAATTGTTAACCATAGATTTATTTAACAAGTATGTATTATTCCATTTTATGTCAGAGACTATTTGGGGCTCTCGATCCACAAAGGCAAACAAAGCATAGACGTCATCTAGTGCAGGAATGGTAAGTGTGGTGTATGCAGCCTGACCACAGTCATGGATATAAGCATTCTAGGGTTTGTGAGGATGTCAAGACCTAGCTTAGCCCAGAAATTAAGGGAGAAATAAGATAGCTAATAATTTTATGGAGTGAGCAGCAGTTAGAATAAATGTGGGAAGGGATATCAATCCCACATAACATCCAATTTTCCCAGGGAAGAAAGCCCTTAAAATGCATAATTCAGTTAGCAAATGTGGTATGAGGCCACCACTGAAATAAACATTTCTGTATGGAGAAAAGCAAAGGGCAAATCATGGAATTTGTCTTGTGTGCTTACACTGGTTCCCTAGCATCATTAAAGTGAGAGTATAAAAAATAATGTGGTCAAATTGGGGCTTTAAAAAGTATTTTCATTACACAATGAAGAAAATAAAAGGAAGGATACTATTTGAATTAGAAAGTCTAGTTTTGAAAAGTACTTCATAGGATGAGGAGAAAAAATATTATACCTGTTTATTTGTAAAAGAGGAAGGCTGAGGGAGGTGGAAGAGTTTGTGAGACATAACAATTGCAGAATGCATAGTCCTAATGGCTTGTTGAACAGAGAAATAATGAAGGCCTATCATCTAGGTGTGGGCAAAAGGAGGATGATGGTACCTCACTAGCTCTAGGAATCTCATCATCACCCAGATTCCCTAAAACTGATTTTTCCAGGATTCTTCTTTAGATATTTTATCTCACTATACCTCCAAATGTTGCTGTGCTCAATATCCAGAAACCAATCAAAACAGACACTTGAGAAATGAGTAAATTCGTTTTTAAGTTAATTAAGGGAATAAAAAGGAAAAATAAAATACTGGATAAAATTAATACAGAAATAGCTCTTTTGAATGAAAGGCAAGTCACTGAGTCCCTTGTGAGAGCAGATTGGGGAGAGAAGTGAGGAATTTACCAAGGTCTTTAAAGAGAGATTAGAGGATTATAAACAAGAAGGGATATGTGATTTGAGATTTTTGCCATGTTTATAAAACAATCTAGAAATAATGAGATTACTTCAGAAAAGATTCTTTATATAACATTGTAATTATTAACATGAAATGAATGTAAACAGTGCTATAGTATGTGACTCATATACACCTGAAAAAAATGGAAGGGATCAGGCCAACTCAGTTACAAGACAGAAGACACTTTGTTTTCAAGAGAATGCTAAGAGAAAAGAAAGACTTTATCTCTTACTGATGGCCAGAAACTTGGAGGACTCTCCATCAACTCAAATGAAATATGGACTCTTTAAAACAAATACTTATTCCCCATTTTAACTTTGGTTACCTAACATAAATAGTAAACACATTCTTTTCTGTAAAGAATATAATTGATCTAGCAGTAGAAACTAGTTAAGAAGTTGGATTTTGTCCCACTAACTTTACTTGGAACTTTCTGACATTTTTTGTTTTTTAGTACTTTGGTCTTTCTTATAAACTTCCTAGAGTCAAAGGAAGAAAGTGAGTTGAAATTTAAGAGGAATGCTAATAAAACAAGCACATCATTCATAGAAATTTCCTGTAACTTAGACCGCTATAAGAACATTTTCTTAATTTTTCCTCACTCTAATACCCACATTTTTTTCTTAAGTCATTATTACATGAAAATGAATGTGTTTGGGTACAGAGATAGTTCAACAGAGAGTGCTTGCTCGCAAGCAGCTTACCCAGATACAATCAATTCCAGAACTGCATATAGTCCTCTCATTCTAGACCAAAACAATTAAACTAAACAAAAACAAAGAACAAATACAGAGATAGTGATAGAACTTGAAAAACAACACTAAAACAATAACCCTTTTTATCATATGGAGAACTTAGCCCTGCAATAGCTTGATGAAAATTAAATTGCGAGGGAGGATCTTTGGGCCACACTCAGTGATGCTCAGGGGTTACTCCTGGCTTGGAACTCAGGAATTATTCCTAGTGTGGTGTAGGGGAATTGAACCTGGATCATCCTCTTACAAGACAAGCTCCCTACCCTCTGAACTGTCTCTCCAGCCTTTGATGAATTTTTTTGGGGGGGCTGGGTGCTGAAATGATGTAGTTATGTCCTGCAGCAACGTAAACCCCAGGAATATGAGGACTATCTTCTCAGGCAGGGATAACAGTTGCTCCAAAGTTGCACTCAGCAGCATGGCCGAGACAAAGCTAGGACATCCATACAGGACATAGACTCGTAGTCATGTGACAAAGTTTATTAAAACAGGCACTGGTTAAGTAGAGGCTGAAGGAATATGCCTCTGTGCACTAAGAAACAGGTGGAGGAGGGAGAAAAAGGGGCAGTAGGGGGCTAGGAAGAAGCTACAGGGCACTGTCCTGGAGGCGCTAAAGCAAAGCGCATTGGTGAAGTATAGCTGACATCCAAAGGCTTTCCAAGTCTCAAGCCATGACTGCCGGCAATAACAAAGCCAATTAAATATGTTGTTCTCTGAAAATAGCAGGTTTCCCCAGCACAGCTGGATTCCCAGAAATGCTTGTAGGGACCTGGGCATCCCCACGGGCCCAGCGACCTCTAGTGGGGAAAAGGATAATTTGTTCCATCCTTCCCATCACACATAGTCATCTGCACTCTGTGAGGAATGATCCCTGAGCACAGAGCCAGTAATAAGGCCAGAGCACAACCAGGTATGACCCAAAATTAAATAAGAAAATTAAATGACTGCATTTATCTGTTCTTGTTCTTTTATGATGAGTTTTGAAAGACTCATTAAGACATCCTATATGGTCATAATCTTTGCCTTACACTGAAATTAAACTATATTGCACTTATTATTTCATTTTTGAACATAGCTCTACAAAAATATCAAAATTGTGTATGTAGTATACTGAAAACGGTAGGTTACAATTATTTTTAAAAGACTAAAGCAGATATGGAGCTCTGTTTTCCATCTGATAATAAGTTCTAGAGTGTTTCCAGGTTTATCACTACCTCCATTGTGACATAGGGCAAGCTGACCAAACACTTTAATGAATTTAATTACTTTTTAAAAGAAATAGATCATTTTCTCCCCTCCTTAAATCATCAAGAACATATGGAGTTATATTTTACTTCGGATTATAAATTCTACAGTGTTTTCAGGTTTATCACTCTCTGTTTTGGGGTGTTTTTTTTCATTGTTTTAATTTCACACCCTACTGTGCTTAAGGCTTAGTGCTGGCTCAGTATTCAGGGATCACTCCTGGCAGAATTCAAAGGACTCTATGAGGTTCCAGGAACCATCCAGTGTCACCAGCTTGGAAGGTAGGCAACTAACATGGTATCTCTCTAGCCCTACCTCTGTTTTTTTCCCAAGTCATCATATTTATCCTGTTAAAAGTGTAAAAGATGTTGTGCCTTTGAGAATATAATAGGGACATTTAGAAACATATACTTAAAAACAAGCACAGGGTGAGAAGTTGGTA